TATACAGGTATTAACTGAGCCCCATTCTTTCAAGTTCTATAGGTTTCAGGTTTTTCAAAATAAGCTTTTGGAGGAGGGCATGCTAGGCAATGTTCTTGGCTCTGTAATCTGGCCTTCTTTTCCAGCCTCTCCTCCATTTCCAACCAAACCTGACTACTACATGGTCAGCAGGAGTGCTTTGCTTTTCCTACCATCTCTCAGTTCTGTTCAACAGCTCCATTCAACAAACTCAGGGTGTATCTAGATGCTCACAATCCAGGGAGGGAAGAGACTTGGTGACAACTCATGTTACTACAGTGTGGTGGGTGCAGTAGCTGAGTGGGAGCACAGAGCAGGAGCTCGCCAACACTGCCAGTAGCCCCTAGTATCTGGAAGAATGAATGGGTGAGCACGGATCATTATCTGGAAGAAGACAGACCCATGAGTAGTTGGTCATTAACACATTCAGACTACTGGCCTGAAAGGTGGGACATACATGGATTCCCTTTCTCCCAAAGGTTGCCTTCTAGTGTCAGCCTGGAGCAGATACTTGGAGGCCCTTTTTCACAAAGGACCCTTCCCCTTTCCTTATTTACTTTCAGTCCTTCCACTGGGGCCCTCCTTCTTCCTGTTGCTGCCCCTTTGTGGTAAAGTGGGGGCATCACTGCTTGTAACTACTTCCTGGGGGGCCTCATAGTGAATCAAGTCATGTCTTCAGAGTGTGGCATCTGCAATTGCACCAAGCAACAAGCTGCTGTCTTGCTCATAGAGACAGTCTCTTAGAGCACAAGGATGATGTGCTCTTACAGCTAAAATAGCTCCTCATTACTAGAGACAGGGGTGGGGGGAGACAAAAGGGTGAAGGGGCTGAGGGAGACACAGGAGTCCCTATCACACTCTCCCATGTGCTCTCTTAAGCCTCCAAAGGGAAGTTCAGTTTCCCTCCCCCTTAATGAGTTAGGAGCTGCGGGTGGAGGGGCAGGAAGGGGAGCACTCTGTGCTTTGTACACCCAGAAGCCTCTACCACAAGGAAAGTGTCTTCCCTGGGTTTGGATAGTCACAGAATCAGTCAAACTCTGGACATTTCTCAGGGATTTGCTGGGAGCTGTCCCATATGCTGTGCCTCAGACTGTGAGTTCTCCCAGTGATGGGGAGAGGTGTTGCTGCAGTAGAAAAGGCTTTCTGAGTATCAAAACCCTGACCTTTTGGATTTTAAAGCCAGAGGCCAGAGATATATCAGAATATATAAGAACTAGACTGTCAATACACTAGCTACACGTGGCTATTGAAACACAAGTTGGAATTAGTTAAAATGAAATAAAACTAAACAATTTCAGTTCTGCAGTCTGACCAGTCACATTTCAAATGTTCAATAGCCCATGGGGCTGGTGTCTAACATATTGGATAGTGAAGATATCATAGAACATTTCCATTTTCACCACAGTCTCTTGAACAGTGTCTCATTAGAAAGAAAGGCATGGCATTTTATCTGTTTTGAAGGACAGAGACTTTTGCTTTGCCCTAGGGCCTAGAACAGTGTCTGGCACTTTGACGGATGATCAGTAAAATTTTGTTGAAAGAATACTAGAGAAGTTAGAGCCGGTTTTCCATCACTTCTGTCCCTTCACCCAAACGATCTCAGCTAGATAGAGTTTGTCCAATCTGGGGAGGAAGGGGAAAAAAGAGAGAACAGGAAAGAGGGGATCTTAGTCATCCATGGATAAATCCCTCTGAAGAGCTCTGAGGCTCTGCTGGCTCTGACTTGACATAGTTTGGGATTTGGAGGTGGCAATAAAGAAAAAACCCAAATAGGTTGGTGAATCCAAGAGCAGGAGGAGTCTTGTGCTTGCTCCCAAAGAATGCACGTTGTGCCCAGGTAGGTGGTCTGGGATACCCTTCAACATTTCTGCTCACCCACGTCATGGCCTGGTTTGTGGAACTGAGGCATGACTGGGTAGCATGGAAGAGGCGAAGGGCCTTAGAGAGCCCAGCTGAGTTCCCTGTGGCTCCAGAGAGGCATGAAAAAGCAGAGGGAGGGAAAGGAAGATGAAGAGAGAGGACCACTGTGCCTGGGGAACGCTGGGATAAGGCTGAGGGGGATGCAGCTATGCTCTGGGTGAACTCACAGCCTAAGAGAAGACAGGATCAGGATGTCTCAGTGGACACCAGAGAGGAAAAGTACCGATGACCAAGGACCAGAAGTCTCTGATCCCCCCACTCCTGGCACATTAGGAGCCCTCTAGAAAATTAGAGGCAACCTGGAGAAAATGGCTGGGGAGCCCCTGCATTAATGGAGATTTCAGTTCTTGTTACCTGATGGAAAAGGGGTTGCAAACAGAAATTGGGTTTAATTATAGAAAAGTAAGGAAGTTAATGTTTCCTGGACATCTAAGTTTGCATCCTGGCATTTACACCCACCCAATATTTCAGTATTGCTTGATTTTTTAAAAAACAAAAATATAAGCTGTATTATTTGTGTAAATTAAAAATTATTTTTTGTATGATTCCACTTATATGGGGTACCTAGAGTAGTCAAATTCACTGAGACAGAAAGTAGACTAGTAATTGCCAGGGGCTTGGGACAGGAGAAAGGGGAGTTAGTGTTTAATGGCTGTGGAGTTTCAGTTTGGGAAGGTGAAAACGTTCTGGAGATGGATGGTAGTGCTGGCTGCACAACAATGTGAAGGTACTAATGCCACTGAACTGTACATTTTAAGTGGTTAAAATGGTAAATTTCACATTATGTATATTTACTGCAATAAAAGATGAATGTAACAGAAAAAAGAAAAACAACTGTTGCAAAGTGACTGATAGCTGTGATTCTGGATGTTTCTTGAAAACTGGCATGGTTCACATTCACTCCATTTCCTCTTACAGAGTGCCCTTCCAGCTAACTTATGCTGATCTGAGGCCCCTAGATTTGGCAGCAAGGCTCTGTTTCTGGGTGCCTGCCCAACCACCAGCCGAAAAGCACCTTGCCACTTCCTTCTCAGCTTAGTCACTCACTATCTTGGTGGCCCTGTTGTTGCAGATCCCAAAAGAGAGGTCAGTGGGCAACGTGAGCTCTGTCTTAACCGCCAAGAAACAGGACATGAAACCAGTGGCACTAACCTGGGAGCACGGTAAGCACCCTAGGTAGCCTCACACTGGTTCCGCACACTTCTGTTCCTGGCACACAGTTTCCTGAGCATCTAACAAAGTACTACTCAATCTCTTGGTTTGGGGTCCCCTTGAGGATGGCAGGAAGAAGTTATACTCTTTTGGAAGTCTTTCAACAGAAGCATTTCCCTTAGCAACTGACTCTCAAAATCTCTCCTGTAGTCAGAATAGCTTCCAATAAGGAGACTGTAAACAGAAATGGTGAAAATTCCTCCAATCAGCAGGTGTTTCTTGAGCACCTCCTGTATACTCAGTATGACTATAGGACCTCTGGACAAGTGTACACTAGAGAAATAGCACCTAATCATGAAGGAAGATTTTCCAGGCCAGAAACAATCAGGAAAAAAACAAAACCAAAAACCCCACTAAACTGCAGTGATGTAAAAGAGCAATGCAGTCTGGCATAGGCAAGGAAGGCTTCCCGGAGGGGATGAGACTAGAGCAGGGCCCCAGAGGAGGACTTGGATCGGCATATGGAAAGAGAGGCAACAGGACATTTTAGGGAAGCCACACACTAAGGAAGTAGGAGCAGGCTGGAGGTTGTATAGAGAATTTGTTATGATTCATCCCTGAAGTATCCTGTGTGCTCAGGCGTGACACTAAGCAATGGAAAACAGACAAACTGTCCTCAAGGAGCTCTAGTCTGGGAGGCAGTGAATGAAGGGAAATACTAAAACAAATACAGGTGATGTGTATTATTCCACAAGAATGTTAAGCCCCCAGAAAGTAGAAACCTTATCCATCCTGTTCATCACTGTATCCTCAGTACCTAGAACAGTGCCAGGCACAAATTAGGTGCCCGATAAAATGCATACTGAATGAAGGGATGCTACAATGGACATATGGAATAATAGCAATATTGGTAGTTTATTGAACACATACGTGCCAGACAATATGCTAAGAGCTTTACATACATTATCTTATTTGATCCTCCAGCATTTTGAGAGTACTATTAATAATCTCATTCCACAGACTTGGGAACCAAGGCTTACAGAAGTTAACATTTGTCTCAAGGTTAACTAACCACTAAGTGACAGAACTGAGACTTGAATTCATGACTACCTAACTTCACAGTCCATCCTCTGAACATAGTCTACTGTTCAAAATGCTGTTTGGGGAAGTTTATCTGGTAGCTGACTGAAATGTGAAGGGAAAGACCCAACGAAGCGAGACCACTGCAGTGAAAAACAGCAGTATCAATGATTATGAACTAAAGCGGTTATAGTGGGAAAAGAGAAGAAAGGATCTACTTTTGGGGAACCTTAAAGGGTTCTAAAGAAAGCTCAGGGCTTGGTGATTTATTGAATATAGGGAATGAATACATTTTCTCACCTGGGAATGCAAAGAATGCTGGTAGCCCTGAGAGAAATAGCTTTTCTCTAATTCCTAGCCCTACAGTACACTCGACATTCTTAGATGGTCTAAATCTCTAGGTTTGTCAATTCTGCAAAGCATTTAATCAGATGCTGATTACCTACAATAACAAGCTTGAAAAGCCACTCTATAGGGCAGGATAAGAAAAGCATGATGGAGGGAAAAAGGGAAAAAAGAAAGAAAAAAGAAGGAAAGGAAGGGAAGGGAAGGAGAGGGGAGGAAGGGAGAGGGAGAGAAAGAAAAAAGAAAAGAAAGAAGGAAGGAAGAGAAAGAAAGAAAGAGAGACAGAAAAGAGACAGAAGAGAGAGAGCGCGCGCAAGAAACGCAGGGAGGGTGCACAGACAAGCCTATTCTAAGATCGGTTGCATCCGCGATGCGGGCGGGCACTACAAAGGGGGGGGGGTTGTCTAAGAACTACAACTCCCAGAAGGCATCGGGCAGAGTAGCAAGGTTTCCGGCTAGAGCTTATTTCCGGTCTTTCGGGTGCTGACGCTCTCTTCCGGTCTTGGTGGCCCCCTGAAAGGCCTTTGGGGTGTGCACGGTGAGTCCTGAGATCCTGGGGGTGCGAGTGGGAACAGGGGAGTCTTGTGTCGGCACAATACTCAGCAGCTGAGGCTCGGGAGGGCCGGGAGGGCACGCCGGCGGGAGGACGTGTAGTCTAGACAGAGAGGGAGGGGGCAGAGCGGACTGAGCCCACGGAGGCTCCCAGAAAGGATGTGGGGAGCGAGGTCGAATGGGAACCCTGGGGCAGGAAGGATACAGGGGCGTGGAGGAGGACCCCGCGAGCGTGTCGTGGGATCTCAGGAGGAGCTGGTGGTGGAGGAGGAGGAGTAGCGGGAGGGCAGCGGCGGTGAGGGTCTCCACTGTGGAGGAAAGCTTAGAGGCTGCTGCATGTCCGAGACTGGCCGAAAAACGGCAGCCCAAGGAAAGCCCTATTGTGGCCACATGGAATCCTCTCAGGAGACCCCACCCTTTGGGGAGCACCCAGGAGCCCTGGCAGGAAGAGGGTAGCAGATAATGCTGGTGCATATACCCGATTTTCCGACGGCTGCAGGGCAGAGATGGTAGGAAGCTCGCCAATGGGTGGGTCAGCTCTGGTGGCTCTTTGGAAGGGGCTGCTGCTTTGGCAACATCAAAAGAGCTTTGATAGGCTCTGTAAGGAAGGACTGTCAGGAAGATTTTGGTGGTTTTACATGCTTGGGTTGACTGTTCACTTTGGTCTTTTCTCCAAAGATGAGGCTGCTGGCATTCGTGGTGTTGGCTTTATTTGCTGTCACTGAAGCAGAGGAAGGAGCCAGGCTTTTGGCCTCCAAATCATTACTGAACAGATATGCCGTGGAGGGGCGAGACCTGACTTTACAGTACAACATCTACAATGTTGGCTCAAGGTAAGAAGGCCCTGGAGCTATAGGTTGCGCCCTTTTCAGGCTTCTTAGATTTCCTGACTGGGAACAGGGACCAGTAGTGATTTATGTTTGGGAGACCTCCAGCAACACAAAGATATCATGAGTGAATGAATATATTGCTGGGTCTACTTTTGGTAGAGGAGGGCATTCTTACCTAAGCTGCAAGAAATGATCTTCCACTTTTTTGAGTTGGAAGAGTTTCAGAGTGGGGAAGAAGCAAGAATTGTGGTGAAACAGGGAGAGGAAGATGAGAAGGCAGAAAATGTGTGATCCTTTGTTACCTCTGGGGTTTAGTTTCAGCTTCCTTTCTTTTGTTCGCATTTTTGTTGCCCTTCTTTTCATTTTATTCTCTTGAATTTTCTCTTCCGTATGCATCTTGCTCCTCTTCCCCTCCTTACATACACACACGTACACAAACACACACACAAGAAGAAATTGGGGCAAATATGAATTGAGACCCATTCTTTCCTAGATATTTGACTGTTTTGGTGCTTCTGAACCATAGAATCCAGTCCTTGACCTGGATTC